GATGGACATTTGGGCTCTTTCCATACTTTGGCTATTGCTGATAGAACTACTGTAAACATTGAGGTGCATGTGCCCCTTCGAAACAGCACACCTGTATCCCCCTGGATAAATACCTAGTAGTGCAATTGCTGGGTCCTAGGGTAGTTCTATTTTTAGTTTTTTGAGAAAACTCCATCCTGTTTTCCAGAGTGGCTGCACCAGCTTGCATTCCCACAGAATATTCTTCTTTTGATTTTTTTTCAGCTATTCAAAAAATGTATAAAGCATTCCTAGTTTCAGGTCATACCAAAACAGGTGCCAGGCTGGATTCAGCTGGCTGTATATTGCTAATCTCTGGACTAAGGGATCAGAGTGTAGAGAACGTAGCCAACTCTTTTGAGAAGCTCATCGCCGAGGGGGAGAAAGAACTAGTGCGATAGTGGAGACAGGTGTAGACAAAGGCCTGTTTCTCAGAAGAGACCTGGAAGTGGTTTGGGAGAACAGGAAGACCAGTTTTTGAATAAATCAGTCACAGGGATGAAAGGTACAGCATAGGGAATGTAGTCAGTGGTATTATAATAGCGCTGCACGGGGACAGATGGGAGCTACACTTGTGAGCACAGTATAACGCATAGCCTTGTGGAATCACTGTGTTGGGCACCTGAAACTAACAATGTAACCTATGGCGTATGTCACCTATACTTCAATAAAAAGAAAGATAGTGGACAAGGAGCCATTGCAAACGGTGGAGAGAGATGATTATCGGACTAGATCCTGGAAGAGGCAGGAAGGAGGTCACAGAATGCGGAGTACAGACTGCAGTGTAGGTGGTTTCATCAGGGAGGAGGAAGCACCTCTTTCACCTGAGGCTGGAGGAGAGAAGAAAGGAGGGGCCCTAACCAGATACTTAAGTAGGTTGCAGGGTAAAGAGGGTGAAGAGTCTTCTTGAGGGTCTTGATTTTCACAGTGAAAAAGGAGGGAAGGCTCAAAGGGGCTACTAAGTTTCTGAGGCCTGTAAACAGAGGCAGAGTCTGGGGCTTGAAGACATTTGCTTTGTGTGGTCAGGGAAGCAGTCTGTGACTTTGGTGTTTTTCAAGTTCCCGACACTAAAAGAATGATTTCTGCTGAGGCAAAACAGCCTGGGATTAGGTGGTTAGGCCTGAAGAAACAGGTAAACTAATTTTCTTGGTCTTCTGGAGTGACCAAGACAGGTCTGGGGATGGGGCAGTGGGGAGACTGGGAAGGATCCTCACCTGGGCTTCTAGCTTCTCTAAAGTCTAGCCCTGCGTGCACAGGGCAGTGTGGTTAGGCTGGAGCCAGGGTATAGGGGACAGGCAGCCACGAGGTTTCTTGGGAATGCTGACAGACACAGGTACTAAGAGGAGAAAATGGGCTCAGAGTCCCTAGGATAGTTCCTGATGCGACAGAGCCAGAATTTGAACACCTGTTCTAGGTCTTTTTTTTTTCCAGCTCACTATCCTCACAGAACTTAAAGAGCTGGTTAGTGGAAGTGAGTCCAAAATGGGGTATCTTGGAGTTGCCTGGATGTTATTTGCCTTAGCAAGGAGGTTATATGGCCATGAGATAAAAAAAAAAAAAAAAAAAAAA